TGACTGGGTCTTGTTGGGTTGTGGCTAACCGATGTGCACGTCTCTTCAGAGCAGATAGCAAAGAACACACCTACAGAAACCACAACCGCAGACTATAAACGGCATCGTTCTGCAGCTGAAACCCTGTACAGAGGCTGTTCAGTGTGTTTGAAGAGTGTTGACAGATCAGGTGATGTACCATCAGAAGCCTGTGGCGTGGGCCCGGGTGGAGCCGCCGCGGGTGCAGATCTTGGTGGTAGTAGCAAATATTCAATGATGATGTTGTACCATCACCTGATCTGTCAACACTTAGCGCTGCTTGATGTTATTACCTGACAGCTAACTGATTGCTCGAGACTGTTGGTTCAACAAAACCAGACCTCTCCCCTAAAAACACCATTTATAACATGCAGAAGTGTCACAAACCTGAATAGCTGCAGCTAAAGTGTCAATACCATGAAAGTCATCAACAGAAGTACCAGAACCTTGAAATTAAGGGAGAAAAAGTGCAAAACATGATTTTAAGGCATAAAGAATCAAAAGTTGACATCTTGATGCAGAAAAGTGTCAAAACTCTGGATTTAATGCTCATAAAAAGGCTGAATAATAACATGACAGGCACCAATAACATGGACGTTGGGTCAGATACTCCTGTCATGTAATAGAACCACACAAACACAGTTGATGGCGCCACCTGCTGGCTGTTTAACCGCTATTACACCACATTCAGACTGCAGCCCTTCAGTCACATGATGGGACTCTGCTGTTGATGAGTTGTTCTACGGGGTTATTCTGGTACACAGACTCTCAGACCACACGACGATATGACAATAAAATGAAATGAAAACAGATTCAAATGATAAAATCTTCATCAGTCATAGACAAAAGCAATATGATGATAAAAATGAATAAATAAAACAGATTAATATAAAACCACATGAGGCTGTGGAAGAGACAGCGGTTATTGTTCTCGTTTATTTCTTTACTCCTCAGCTTTTACCTTATTTTTATTTTCTTATTTTTAATTCTTGTTGGCCTTTTCCTTGTTTATGTGTTCAAAGTCCAATAAAGTTGGTTCTGATCCGATCCGTTGGTCCTAGACTACGTCCAGTTGTTGGCATAAATGTGAGTTTGTATTTTTGGAGCTTGACGTTTATACATGCAGTGACTGTCTCTGTGAGTTCATCCAGATCAGTGCAAACTTCTCCCATAAGTCCTCAGACCGAACCAGAACCAAACGTCGCCCAGGTTTCGTTTCCTTCAGGACGGGTGACTGACACCAACCATAGCAGAGCAGCGATAAAGATGCTGGTCCTTCCTGGTGGAATCCTGTTTCATACTAACCTAACATCTTTACCAGCTGCTTTATCTCCTCAGGAAAACTATTTTAGGGTTACTGAAATTGTTGGCCTCATTTCTGTTGTCGTTACTCGTTGCTTTTTCTTAATAAAATGAGATTAAACGGTAAAAATGTAATTTCACCTGTATATATCAGTTTCATTTGTAAATTCAGTCCAAATAAACGTGTTCCTCATTAATTTAAACCCCTAAATGCACTTAAAGTTTTATATTTCACACTCCATTTAGGAGAAATGGCTATTTTGAAGAAAGAACTACAACTTCCAGGAGCATTGCAATACAACGTGATTGGACAAGCCATGAAATATGTAGTTCTTCGTGGGGTTTACTACTAGGATTGTGTTTTTGTATCAATAAACTAAAATAAACAGATTGAAGTCCTGACAAATGTGCTACTGTTAAAGTACAGTACGTGTAGTATGAAATAAGTGTAACAGAGTACATCGTATTGGGGTATTTTATGTGTTTGGGGGAAATTTGCGCTCATTGCTAAGGCAACCCTGTTAGTGTCTGTGCACAGCCTCGCCATCGACCTGGAAGAGATCTGTAATGTTTTTGTGTGTACAATAGGTGGCGGTAATGCACCTGAGCTAGCTAAAAGCTTCACAAAGCTACAGGTACATTCCCCACCGCTGGCCTCTCAGCTACAACAGTCAGATTGTCCATGGCTGTGATCACAGAACATGTTCTGGTCCGTTTCCCTGCATGTGTCCTTCTGTTCAGAGTTGTATTCGTTTACAGAGAAATAAAAGTAACGACGAGCATGTAGCCCAAACACAGTAAAAGACCTTATGTTTTACCACAAATAAATGATAATAGCTCTGAAAAATATGGTTGGATCACTTTCAGAGAGACCTCAGAACAGCTTCTCTCTGTCTGGACATAGTTCTTGTCTTTTCTATTCATGAATGCGGAGCTTATAGCAGCTGGAGCACTCGGTACCGGCTCAGCGCCGGTGTTTCCAGAATGTTAGCGTTGGTCAGTGTGGGTAACACATCTGTGTGTGGACGGGCCAGAACAGGAAAACTGGTTAATGCTGACTGTAGGAGGAAAAGAACGACTAAAACATCCCCGTATATGAGCTGTCTGATGGGAGAAAAGATAATTCCAATTAAAATGTATTGGTTTTAAATTCATGCTGGGGAACATGAAAAACTCTGCACCTGGTTTCTGCTTTAAATTAAAAATGAACCCCAGAGAGATTCTGCACACACACAATATGAAGTGTTATTATGGCAGCACCATCTAGTGGCCGTTTGACTCATTACAGGAGTGAAGGATCCAGTCAGACGGCTTTTCTGAAGATGGAACTTTATTAATCCCAAAGAAAATGATTCCTCCAGAAGAAAAAAAAGAGACATTGGAATAAAATCAGCATGTAACAGAAAAGCAATGAGGTATAAACAGCATCACTGGTCAAAGTCAGCTGAACATGACTGATAGAAGAAGTCATACTGGCAGAGATGCTGGAGGAATATAACACAGTTCTGGTTTTGTGTCTCTGTGGTCGTTTCCTGTTTGTCACTTTGTGTGTCGCTGCTGGTCTGAGCTTCAGGTGTGAGCGGTTTAACCACAACGTAGGAAGTACAGCCGGCCCCTCAGCAGGGACATGCTAAGCTAACAAGGCCGGAGGCAGAAACGCACAAAGTGAAGCTAATCAGACCTGAAACATCCGACAGACTGAACCGACAGAACCGAGCCGGACCAGGAAACGTCCACTGCTGGCTACAGATTCAAAGCTCCTCTGAACCAGCTGCAGATCAGCTCCGAGCTGTTTCATGAATTAGTGGAAGGATGTTGGTTGAGAAGAAGAAAGAAACTGTTAGCATCAGTCTGAGTTACATCCACTTGTAAAGACCACGTATAGAATAGAATAGAATAGAATAGAATAGAATAGAACTTTATTGATCCCTTTGGTGCAAACAACAACACCAACACAACATCAGCAACAACACGACAGTCTGAGTTTCCAGTGACTCCTAGAACTCTGAATTCTATCAGATGGAATCATTGAAACACGTATTTTGGTTCTTTCATAAACTGAGCGATTTGGCCACAATGAGCAGAACCATGTCTGGAGGAGAGAAGGTGAGGCCTTCAACCCCAAGAACACCAAACCTACCATCAAGCATGGAGGTGGCAGCATCATGCTCTGGTTCTGTTCTGCTGCCAGTGGACCTGGAGCTTTACACAAAGTCAGTGGACCAATGAAGAAGGAGGATTAAAACCTGAAACCATCAGCAGAATGTTGATCTTGGACACAGTTGGATGTTCCAACCAGACAATGAGCCCAAACACACATCAAAGTGGTGAAGAAATGGTTCCATCAGGCTGGAATGAAGGTTCTAGACTGGTCTCCCCAAAGTCCTGACTGGAACCATCCAGAACCTGTGGACTGATGAAGGAACAAGTCTGAGATGCTCCATAGTCCAGCTGCCTCTTCTGTAGATCTGTTTCTGTTTCCTGCTTCATTTCTCGAAAAGTCCAAACGACCACACTGTGTCCTGGTGGATGTGGACGTGGAAGATAATGCAGTGTCCATTTTATTGTGACTAAATCATCCTGTAGGCCTCCATGTGCTTTGAAATCGTTGTTTTTTTTGTCTTCTTCACTAAATCCTGGTTCATGAACAACCTGGCAGACAGGTTGTCCAACAGGTTCAGACTCCTCCTCGTTAACTACAACGAGCTTCACCCTGAAGGCAGAAACTCAGAAGAGACATTCGTGTTTGCTGCACAGCTTCATTCGACAACATAATCTGTAAATGAATACCAGTCCAGGTGAGAGACTAACAGGAGACGATACGGGTGAAATGGCTGCTGTGAGCTCTGGTTCATTCTGCTGTCTGATCGTCTGTTTCCTGCTCTGCACCTGCACAGGTGAGCTACACTGGTCACACCTTCACATCTGATGTTCAGGTGGTTGTTTGGTAAAGACAGAGTTTAGAAACGTGGTCTTTTCTCCTCTTTGTCCTCTGAGCTGCTCCAACAGACAGCTTCTGGAAGTTTCCTCCAACGCGGAGCTTTAGTTCTTCCTCTGGTGGACCTGGACAGGCTCTGACTGTGGAGGAACATATCTACCAACAGTGTAATGATGTGGAAAAAATAGAGACAGACATAAAGGTGGAGGAACCTCTACAGTCAAACTACCTACTTTTATCTCAGGAAGTGTTTGATGTATGAAGTTAGAATTTCACAGATATCTTCAGAAACACATTTCATGGTTTAAAAGTTTCATGCAAGTCAGAGCAGAAACTGTGGAGAACAAATGTGACTATCAGAGATGAGTGACCTTTGGTTGGTTGACTTCATCAAACAAGGACGATTCAGAAATGTGCTTTATTATTATTATTGTTATTATTATTGTTATTATTATTATTTTGCCATGTTTTGCATGTTGTAATTTGCTCAAACAGGACTGTGAGGGTTCTAACTTTCCTCTCTTCTCCATTTGGCCCTAAGTTCTCATCAACATCACGTCTTCTCTGCAGCTTCAAAAGTTTCTTGGTCCTTGGAGACACAGTTATTCTGATAATGTAACGACTACAATCAGGTTTTATCATAAACGTACTGCTAAACTGACTGCTTTTAGATCCTTTAAACTCTCTGTTGGTTCTTCTTCAGCTCAGGAAAACATCACAGCTGAACTGGGACAGGATGTCATTCTACCATGTGGAGGTCCCAACAACAACGACTCCTTCATCGCTGCAGAGTGGGTCAGACCGGACCAGCAGCCAGACTACGTTCTGTTCTACCGCGATGGGAAGTGTCATCCACAATTCCAGCATCCGTTGTTTAAGAACCGAACGGATCTGCAGGACAAGCAGATGAAGGACGGAGACGTTTCTCTGGTTCTGAACGATGTGAAGATGGAGGACACTGGAACATACGTGTGTCGTGTTTTCCTGAAAGAAACCATCGACAGGCAGAGCGCCATTGTGAAAATCGTCCACCTGGAAGTTCATCCACCAGGTGAGTTTGTGTCCAGAGTTCAGTTTGTGTCTCTGATGAAGCTGCTTCGTCTCAGATCAGATGTTTGTGGTTTATAAAGATGTTGCTGATGAGACTTTGTAGAAAACAGCTGATCTGACTGATGTTCAGACATCTGACACTCTGATACCTCTGTCTGATCTGCAGGAGGCAAGGATGGAGGAGACAAGGATGGAGGAGACAAGGATGGAGGGAACGTAGTTGGACTGGTTCTTGGAATCGTCTGTTACTTCTTGCTGTGATGGTTTCTGTTGGTTTCCTGATCTCCAAAAAACACATTAAGAACAATTCAGAGCTCCTTGTTGACATCAAATGATTGATATGAATCAGTTTCCTGGTTGGGTCTGTTATAGCGGACCCAGCTGATGATGGAAGCATCAGAACCCTGAGCTCCTCCCAACATCTCCATGATGGATAGTTCTGCTGTAGAGCTGTGGACTGGTGCTGCTGCTGCTCGTCTCCATCAACTTTTCTACTCTGTTGGTTTGTCTTTCAATAAATGTTCTGGACATAAAGTGTTCTGTCAGATGGGATCAGAACCAGATAGAAAAGTTCTGATTGTACAGAACGAACCACAACTTATAAAGTTTAAAAGATGTTTACTTTTTGTGCTGTGAAGAATAAAATACATTTTGTTCTTTACAAGCGCAGCACTCGGGCTGGTTGTTAATTTTTCTATTCTGCAGAACTGATTACGCGACGTGTTCGTCCTGCATCTGATCCTGCTGTTACATGTCTGAGCTACATCCTGCCAAACAGGAAGAAAAAAACAGAAGCTGAAGGAACCTGTTTGGTTCTGAACACCAGTCTGGACTCGTTCCTTTAATTGGAGGCAACAGAACATGACGGCAGCTCCCAGTAAAGGACATCTTTGTGTTTAACGAGATCAATATTCCTGCCGGTGTGGGAAAAACACGACGTATCAGACAGAACAAACTGAACGTCTCTGGTTCTAGATAACGCCCCCAATAACATGAGTAGGTGGGAACGTTCCCACAACGTTAGACAACTTAGACAACCCGCAGGCTTGAAGAGTTTTTTTTCATGAAAATGTTCTGGTCAAATGTTCACAGAACCTTTACACATATTTTAATTTTATGTTTTAAAGGCTTCGAATGATTCTTATAAAACGTTCCTGTGCTGGAACGTGAAAGGTGGAACATTCTGGCAATGTTCTGGAGATGTGTTGGGGATGTTCATGAGGGTTCACATTGTAGAACGTCCTTCTATAAAACATTATGAAGGACGTTCAGAAATGTTTTCCAGATGTTCATGAGATGACTCAGATGATGAAGTTTTTCATACAAGAAATCATGCTGTCAGGTCCCTGAAGGCATCACGCTGTCAGGTCCCTGAAGGCATCACTCTGTCAGGTCCCTGAAGGCATCACGCTGTCAGGTCCCTGAAGGCATCACNCGAAGCATCATGAAGTTCTGAAAACTGAAATAAATCACATGTTGATGGACCAAAATAGAACTTTGATTGGAAATATCATGATATTGATCAGCAACATCAGTCAGCCACCATCAGATTCTAGATGATCAAAGATCTCCAACATCTGTATCAGTTAAAACACTTTCACTTTCCACATCTGGAAGACACCAATTATTCCTAAAGAATGTCATTTTAAATGCAATAATGAAACTGAATTTCAGTCATACTTCAACACACGGAGGCTCATGTGATATCATGGGATCGTGCTCATTTTGTGTCTTTTTTTTTTGTTTGTTTGTTTTTACACTTTTAGGGTTTTTTATGTCATTTTATGGCTTTAAATGAAGTGAAAATGTCAGACTGCTGCTTCAGGAGACATTATTCTGTGAAATGACATGAACAAGCCTCAGAAGCATCATGACAACAGACCAGATGACAGTTACAGTCACACAGCAAAGCTCAGCATCACATTGTGTTGGTCTGGGATTCACCACAGTTTCCTCAGTGTGATGAAAGAACACTCAAGAACCTTGAATATATGTCAGAAATAGCAGATGGACATTTAAAATCACAGAAAACACTTCTCTTTACTCGGAGACTGATTCTGTACGTCATACTTCCTGACACGTGACAGTCAGTAGTTTTCACTCAGAGGAGTTCTCGTTTTCTTTCTGTTGAAGCTGACTGACAGAATGCCACGAGTGTGTGACGCTGACATCAAATAAACAAAACCACAGACTGAGAAGGTGTGTCCAAACCTTTGACTGGTACTCGACATATGAAGGTTGCAGACTTTTCTTGGTCTTTCTGTGTCATAACTTAGAGTTCAAAGTGAAACGTGTCCGACCCACCTGTGAGAGTTTAGCCAACATGGTCTGGTCCTCTGATGATCACATTAACAGCAGTGTCTGGTGAGTTACGCAGCTCTGAAAGAGGAAACGCAGAAAGCGAAAGTAAAATAAACAGCAAACAAAGAAACAGAACACTGAACAAATGTCGTTAATAAAGTATAAATAAAAAGTTTCTGTCGTGTGTAATCCTCTTGATGATACTCTGCGGTGTTCATTTAGTCAGTTTTCTCTCTGAATGATGAGATCAGAAGCTTTTCTAACCTGTGTTTGGGGGAGCGCTGCGTCTTTCCGCGTCCAGTCTTCCACGAAGAGCGGAGCGCGCTCGCGAAGCGGCCGTACCACGTGACTGGATCGGGAACTTTAATTGGCCGTCTCTCAAATATCCGCAGTCGGGTTCTTCCGGACTTGTGAGACCAGACCAGTGTGGACTTCAGACAGCCAAGTATCCAAGAATGCATTTCGCGACAACCAGCCGTAAACAAGGCAGAGGAAACATTCAGCGGTAACGCGCGTTTGTTTTGTGACACGAAATGTGGGTTTAACATTATTTCAGGCGAAAAAGTTTTGGTATAAACGTCACACATGTGGTCGTTTTATCCAGATAAAGCCTGCTGAACATGAAGCTCCGACGGTACCGGACATGTGAGCGTCCCGGTCTGACAGCTGTGACGGCGCTCAGAGCTCACAGCAGCCGCCGAGAGCCGCCTGATGTCGGCCAGACTTTGTGAAGCCTGCCGCTGGCTCTGACGGCTCCGTAGCGGTTAAACAGGGATATACGCAGTTCAGCGTCACACGTTGTCCTCACAGTGGAGTTTGTTTATTGCTCACAGTGGATTTAAAACAAGCTAAAGTTGGAGCTTTATATTTTTATTTAGTCTTGTACTGATCGCTGCCTCAGTGCGTCTGAATGATTCTCCTGCTTCCATCAGCTGTAGTTCAGCCTGGTTCTGTTCCTATGACTGTGGCTGTGCATTAACATGTGAGCAGTGTTTTAGTGGAGGGCAGCTGGATGAACGTCCTCCTGACTGCTGGGAGACTCCCCAGAACATGAGCAGCTCCATCCTGGACCTTCTGACGGAGCATCTCCAGCAGCATCAGGCTGTTTCCAGCTCCACTGAAGAACATCAGGAGGAGCAGAGGAACAACGTTCTTCATCTGTGGCGTGTTTTGTCCTGTTACAAAATGAAATCTTATGAAAAATGACCCTGTTTATGTAATTGTTCTATTTATTGTAGATAGTTCTTGTCTATTTAAGTATTTTGAATCGTTTAAGAATGAATGGTCTGATATGAAGCGCTGAAGCCACAATAACATTTTCCTCCAACATCTGACTGTTGATCAGACGCTGCTGTCAACTAATTAACGGCTTCAATAGAGTTTGTAAGACGACCTTAGAAACCTCAACATGTGTTCATCTTTATAGTTTTTATATTAAAGAGGCAGAGCTGTGTTCTTGTATTTTATTTAATTTAGTTGTTTTTTATGGTAAACATCATCAGAGTCGATGAGCCGAGGTGGTGACGTCATCGTGTACGCTGCTGCACCAATTGCTCGTTAACGGCGATGCGTTCTCACGTTCTCACGTTCTCACGTGTCCGAACGAACCAGCTCATCATCCCAAAGCAAACACTGGAAGCTAATAATCCAACCACTATCAAACATGTGGCTGATAGGCTGACAGCAACCCTTAAACGACTCAGGATTCATCCTCCAGAAACCATGAATGCACAGTTTTGTAACCGACATGTAGCCCAGATGGAAACAACGACAATTAGGTCAGAGCAGTAATAAGAGAAGAGAGTCTTTATTTTCTTTATTTTATTTGTTTACATCGGTAAAGGGTTAAATGTCCTACTCTATTTGAATGCACCTCTCAGTTCACCCACGTGGGGTACCTGCCCAAACAGGGAGTTGTTCTGTTCCCTGTTGCCAACTTCAGGATGAGTTTGGGGTAAACTAGAGGGTAGTTTTTGGTGCAGTTTCTCATGAATAGGCCTCTATTGAAAGAGTAGCTTCAGCACACTTCTCTGATACCTCCAAAACCAACTCTCTGTGTATTTACTGCTGTTTTATATATGATTATTATGGGATATTTTGAGTGTTGATGGTTTCTTGCCATGAGTTTTAAGTTACTGTTCACATGAACAGAGAAATATGTGAGTACTTGGATGTTTAATTCTGATATTTGACACTGAAAACTGAATGTTGAACAACTGAAAAGCTGAAGATTTGAAATGAGGTGAATGTAATATTACAATGTTTTACGTTTAAACCTTTAATGATGCATCTGAGACTAGAATGTAAATTATATGATCTTGGTTATAGGTCAGGTTTTTTGAGAGGACCAGAAAATCGGAGGACCAGGACGAGAAATCGAGGTCCGGGTTGTGACGGATGGCGAACCACTTTGAGGAAAACTCACGACGACGGAGAGACCCATGCACACACTCACACACCTACATTCACACTGTTTGTTTTAGTTCTGATCATTTGGGTCATT